TAAAGCTTGCAGGANAATACTACTATTCCTACAATCTTACTTTCAAATGACCAAAGGCTACGTCATGTTACACACCCAAAATAGTGAATGTGAGATAAAAATAGATTGTATAGCTTAATGCAGCTTTATTAGCGTAATTCATAGTCTATCGGATCTGCATGATAAATATTCATAATACTGCATGTGTAATAAATTTACAGTAAATAAATAAATAAATTAATTAATTGATGTCGGCCCATTAAGTTAAACGTTTAATGAACGAATGACTCCGTTGCTACTGTAACAGTACAATAGACACTACAGTACGTGCAGTACAGTATTGTACTGTACTGTACTCACTGTCCTGCCCACTGTCCAGTGTCCAATGTCCATGTCCATTGTTCACCTAATGTCCCACTGTCCATGGTTCCGAAGAGCTTTTTTCCGAGCCTGCTACCACTTTCTATGAGTACACCCATACACCGGTAGACACTGTAGGGTACCATATCAGCTGAATCGACCGTTTAATATACTGATATGTACCCTCACGCTAATATAAGGTACGCCAAGGCGAAAAGCGCTCATAACGACAGTGACGCCCTTTGGGTACACTTGAAAAAGATCAAACACTCGATTGCCAACTTTGCTAGACGACGAGCTTCTATAGTCGAGTAGATTGATTCAGGTCTAACCTAAAATGGCTTACCAACATCAAGGACAACAAGCAAGAAAACCCATTGACCGAAATTTCTTATGGCAAATATTTCAAAAGTAAGTGCGACGTATTAGAAGAAATGGATAGCCGTGGATGATGATTTACTGTACTGTACTGTTCTTGTGACTCTACAGTATAACGGTGTCATTTCTTGCTGGACAAACAGCAAATACAGTATGGATTTAGCAAACAGCGATGATAGTCAAAGAGAGTTGATGATTACATCACTTGTACTTACTATTTTCAATTCAACTTATATAGGGTTGATAAAGATCGAAGCAATGCTATCACCGCTGATGAATTACAACAAGCTCTTTCCAACGGTAAAAATGCCCGAACCATGCACTATTCATCAATTAATAATAATTATGAATCATACATGGACATGCGAATGGACGCTTTTAGGCTTCATTTCCTTTCATTGTACACTGGATGACTAGTTTATTCATAATATTTTAATAGTCTGTATGGATGGATACACTTCTCCATTTTTCTTATTTATTCTTTCGGTTTTATTGTAGGCTCATGGACACCTTTTAATCCGGAGACTGTTCGTTTAATGATTGGTAAGCTTCATCGCTTAATTTGCTGTTGGTCATAATCCGCACAATAAAGCATACTGTAGCATTATGTAGCCTACCATTGAGTCGTTACAAAGGAAATGGCGTTATCTTTCGCTCAGAAAGCTTATCATTCTTTTCTTTCCCTCCTATTTATGCTCAATATTACAGGGATGTTTGATCGTAATTATTCTGGTACAATTAGTTTCGAAGAATTCGGTTCATTGTGGCAGTATGTCAACGATTGGCAAGAAACATTCCGTAGTTATGATCGTGATGGCTCCGGAGCTATCGATAAAAATGAATTGAAAGCTGGTAAGAAATGATTATACAGTACGATGCCAACCTTTATACGTTGTAAATACCAATTCAAAAATGTATTGTCTGCCTCTGTTCTACATAGATCACAAATTATATCTTGCACCTTACAAAATTGAAAACAATTGCAGTATTGGATAATTGTAGTCACTATATCCACTACATAAGTTATTATACATATCATTATCTGATAATATAATAACATACATTTCTTGATCAAAATCAATGTACAAATCAGTGTTGTAGTTATTATATACCAATCGTTTGAGAAGCGTAAAATAGATCTGCCAATTGTTTTACTATAATTTATTGAAGATTAACGGTATTTTCAACTTTTATGACTTTTTCAACTATGTCTGTGCCCATTCGAACAGCTTTGACGAGTTTCGGTAAGTTTTCACGCATACTTCCGATTTATGATTAAATTTTTCTGAGATGTAATTACATCTGCATACGTGCGGTATTTCTTTGTTAAATCATCACATAGCTTAGTAGCTTATATTCTGTAATATGGATATTTGTTTTAATGTGCCAATTAGGTTATCGCCTTTCCGATCCATTCTATAATATTTTAATTAAAAAGTTTGATCGCTCAGGCCATGGTCAAATTAGATTTGACGATTTTATTCAATGTTGTGTCGTTATTCAGGTAAATATTGTATTGAAAGTGATTATACTCGTATATTGTAAAAACAACCGTACCATTCATTCATTCATGAAATAGACTTCAGGCATTCTTTACTGTATATCAAATAATCTTCTACTCTGTTGTTAGTCAATAGTTGCTTATATGTTGAAATCTAAGATGCTTGATAATCTTATGTTGATAAAAATTTTGATCAATTGTGCCAGTAAATAAGAATAGTTCTGATTATTTTCATTTATACCTTAAATGAGGCAGCCTTCGCTGTCACTCAAGCTACATATTTTCGTTTATTTCTATTCCTAGACTTTAACTGCAGCTTTCCGAAATCAGGATACTGATCAAGATGGTTGGATTACAATGACCTACGAACAATTTTTAACATTAGTTTTTAGTCTAAGAGCCTAATACCAATACACATTAAATTGCTATTTTTACAAGATATCAATTGTAGAATTATAAGGTATAATGATCATAACAAGAAACAAGAAAAACTCCCATTTATGTATAAAAATGTCCTCATACAGTACTGTAATTTCTTAATCTAGTGTATAAAAATAGATAATTTGATGCTAGCACATATTAACCGTATTCTTTTCAGGGTTAACGGCTTCGCTATTTCATAGGATAGTTTGTACTTAAAAGCTATTAATCATAATTTAGTAGAAATTCAGATCAACATTGATCCGAAACATCGATTTATTGTTATTTATAGTTATATTGATATTAATAAAGATGAGTTCTACCAAATTTCTTAGTATTTAAACTGCTTGTTAAATTTAGATTTCAACAAAGGATAATTAGTCAGGAGTTAGTCTCAGATCGGTAACTTGGTGCTACTCAATTAAAATTTTATATTAACTTTCGAAATGCAACAGTAGAACATTTAAAAATACTCATGACTGTTGCACAAGTTTGTTGTACAGTAGCTACGTTGCGTTTACTTCCATTTTTGGATCACTTAATTGGATTTAACCAGGGTAAGATATATACAAAGCTTTCAGATAGCCCAAGTTTCTACGTGTATTGTAATTATTGAATCAGATCATATTATAACTTTGTGTAAACCGTGCATAGTATTGTATTAATTATCGCCATTTCGGTTGCAATCATCAATTATATTATAGTATATTGGGCTAAAAGCGATGAGCTGTAGGATGCGTTAAACCTAGTATAATCATGTTGAAGCAACGACCTAAAGTTTGAAAATTTTTTATAAATATTTCTAATAGGCACATTTTTTGTACTCGTACTTCAAAGCAGCCTACTCCAACGCAAAAATATTTCTTACATATTTTGTTATAACTGGCGATAGCTAGAGTATTACTATACGAAAGAATTTAACTTGATATAAAAGTAGAAGTACGATATTTAATAAAAGTAATACGTGTAGTTTACCGTATCTCAAGAAAACATCTTGCTTGCATATCTTTTTACAAACATGTAATCAATCATTAATCAATGAATCTAAATTTCATAATTACTGAAGTTACAGTTCATCAGTATCAGATTTCAAATACTATGATGATGGCATTTATTTTTGCACGATATTTAGTAAAAAGGTTGCTCCTTTTAAGTTATCAATTTTAAAGAGGAGAAAAAAATGATAGAAGATACTAAGAGACGGAAATTTTTCGCAGTCTAAAGCAAGAATTTAATTCAGTTATAAAGTCATGTACTACACCTTACTGACATCAAGAATCGAAGATTATATTAGTAAAAAATGATGGTAATTTTATTTAAGTATAAATAAAAATATAAAATAAAGATCAATCGAAGATTGAGCACGCGTATTAAGTTAAAGCAGTAAGTATTACACTTTGTAACATCTAACAAAAAGCACAGTACGCAAACCATGCACATGTTGGCGTACATGCGAATTAAGTATACGCTACACTTGCAAAAGTATGCTGTATCAAAACTTTGCAGTAGCAAACCGATCTGGATATTAGCTGTAGTCTCTCTATATAAATATATGTAGTAGTTAATGTTTGCTTCAAAAATAATCTTTTTTCGTCGTTGTAAAATTGAAATAATATTGAAATCAAAATTCATCCACAACTAACATTTAGGACACTATTTGACCACGTTTTATGTCAAAAATATAAGGACCTACTATTTATATTTATATGATCGAAATTATAAAACTTTCGATCTTGTTACAACTATAACATTAAAGCGTAAAAATTTAATTTTAATACATTCAGATCATTTCCATTTATTTTTTAACTGATCCAGGTAATTGAAACGAAGCAAGCAGATTTTGCCTTTGTCGATCCTAAATAAATTTTAAATTTAATGATATAATGGAAGTAGAAAGTGTAAGTCCTATGAGCCGTACATTACAACACACTTTATGATAATATTCCTGTTACAAAATTAAGAAAATCTTACCTTATTACTATTGAGTTCTGTAATAGCTGCAAGTATTTGCTTTCTAGATTGATCATGATTTATGCCTAAATCTTTCAAATCAAAGTCATCTAAAGATAGGAAAGCTTCCATATCCACCTTTAGAGTGATTTAATAATTAAGATAGAAATACGAAATTTAAGATCGTTATAAAATGTTATGTTTGATGATAAAAGGAAAATTAAAGTAATTATGAAATACCTCCTGCTCTTCAAATACTGATGTATACTTTTCTAACGATAACTTCTTTAGTAAGCTACTCACTTCATCTGCATCAAAAAAAAAATATATTTAACGTTTATATCAAGTAATTAACTGATTTTTTAGTCTCTAACTAAAAATATATGAAAAAATATCGTACCTTCATCGGAAGATTGCGTTGATTTCTGTCGTGATCTTATATTACTAAATGATATACTACTACCACTATCATCCATATTCCAGGATGCAACTCTGGTTACTGGACCTGAACTTGGTCTTAAAACCGGCGTTGACTTTCTTATTGATGTAGTTGTAACATTCGCTCCCGACGCTGATGTAACACTTCCAGGCCGTTTTGCAGTCTTATCACTACTGTTTATTGGTCTAATAACATTTGAATCTCGTTCCCGCCTGCGCGAATTACTAGAGAACGGCAAGAAGGCTGAATCCGGATATATTGGTGATTTACTGCTGCCACTTATCTCATTTGGCGCTGGGTATTAAACAAAATTACAGCAGAGGTTGATGCAAAATTTTTAGAATGAATCATATTTTAAAAATAACTGTTCATTCTAACATGACATTTTATTTCATTTCTACAATGATAATAAAATCAATTGTGGTCAGGATAGAATGCTTAATGCTGATGCTCACATTTACTTGGTCCAGAATTCATATAAGTGGTTGAATTAGGTCTACTAGATAGCGCACTGTTATCCCTCGATGAAAAATTAGGTAGCGTTATAGCCTGAGGAGATGGAGAAGTGGGTGATGTAGGAACGACTGAATGTCCAATAGTCTATCAAAATTTCAGAATCAATTAACACTGCTTCAGCAATAGTTATTGAATGACTTTGTAATTTAGCTTGTATTGTTAGCAATAATATAGGCACATATATGCACTCCTTACCTGCGGAGATTCAGCGGGAAATCCAACCGGGGATCTACTATTTCCTTTAGCACGGTCGGCGTTACGACTCATGAGGTCGAACGTTGGTGCCGGTAAAAACGGTGGCACAATTGGAGCTAATACGTTGGCAGGTAGCTTCTGACCCTTTTTAGGAACTGATGCTAGAGCCTATATGTGTATAGGCCAACAAATACAAGGATAATAGAAGTTACATCTTTAAAGAAGCATTGATTGCGATACCAACACAGAAAATCGAAATTTGGTTATCGCTGGTGTAAGCCTTACCAAGACTTGAGGACGCTTCGCTTCTTTGTTAACTTCACTTCCACTAATATCTAAATATGCAATATTATACTTTGAGTGGGTGTAACTGCGCACTTTTATCTCACAGATGGAAGAACTGTGCAGTCTATGTACTATACTGTCTTAACTGTATTGTAATATAAGATTTAGCTTGTAACCTTTACCTGATGCGCTGTGATTTTCATTATTATTGATCCTGACGCTAGGATGTAAAATCCCACTGTTGGTTACCAAAGAGTTATTAGCACTTTCAACACGAGATGTTCGACCAATTTTTAAATTTCGAAATCGATTAGACATTCGCATCCACCAAGTCTAGAAGTGTACGAATTATTTCCAAGAAAAAGGATTTTTAATCTCAGTAGAAAAAAGAATTGCAACCGGAATTTTTGTAATAATAAAGTTACTAATAATGATTTAGAGCTAATTATTGCGCAGTAACACTAACTTTCAAACCCCCCTTCGATTCAACATCGAATTGCCTATATCAAAAGGAAGATAATATTAATGAATTCTGTAATGTACGTACAAGGATTACTACAAAAGATGATTTTTTCTAATAGTCCTTATCTAATATCACTAGACATTCATTCGTGACGGTTTTATGCCCGCTCCAGTTATACAAAACTAACCTATTATTGCTATCGTTCGGAGATCCTGGACTTCGATCATGTTTATTTCCCGACCAAGCATTAACGTTGTGACCTATGAATTAGTTACGGATCAGGATAATAATACAAAAATTGATACCTTCGCTTGATTGTATGGCATTTAAAAGGTTTTGTTATTATCATTCAGTATTTGATTTTACACGCTGCAGTCTTAAGTGCATTGGACCGATATTTATATACCTTCCTTTTCTCTGCCGGTTTGTACCTTTAAACTAACCGCAGCTAGCATTCGAACAATTTCGGTATCTCCTACAATAAGAAACGCATCATTTGAAACTTTCAAGATAGAATTAAAATTCCCTTCATTAACTGATATTTCTCACTAATTACATCGATAAAATTTTGCTGTGCAGGACAGTCGTATCGTACCTATTATAGAGGCCATATCGAATGCGGTGTAATCATTTGTAGCCTTTAAAGTAACATCTGCTCCAGCATCTATTAACCGACGAACACAACCTCTGTGCCTGTTGAAGAATTAAACAATCTCATATATAACTAATTTTGAACGATCAGAAAATACAATTTACAGTAAAACAGCAACAGTGACTAAGTTCGTTATTAAAATGGCCAAATCAATTAAACTATATCAGGTTACTCATTAAGTAATGTAAATATACCCATAATAAGTGGCTTGCATAAGAGAAGTCCATCCACTAATCTTATCTTGAGCATTAACATTTGCGTGCTTTTCAATTAAAAAATCGACTATGTCGGTGTGACCTCGCATAGCAGCGAACATTAATGGGGTAGCACCATCTTTATCCGAACTATTTGCGGCATTAATATTACTCGCTATTAATTCTTTCACTCTACGCAAATTGCCTAAATATAATATGAACATACATTCAAGAAGCGGATTCATCGAAATGATGGTATCTGTTTGACAGCTAAAGTCACCATTTGCTACT